TAAAAAAAAGAATTTGTTAAATTGGAGAGTTCTCTGTGAAGAGGGAAGGGGAGGGATACAGAGGAAGATATAAAAACAAAAGATGAATTAAAACAGTTTTTAAAAAGATAAAGCAGGGCAGGGAATTACTTTCCTTGTCTCTATCAACCCTCCAGAGGGAAATGAAATTCAATGCTTGTCGACTGCCTGACTGGAAGAGTTTGAGCAGAGGCTGATGGCCGCTGGTCAATGCAGCTATAGACAGGATTTAAGCCTCGGGAAGACCTGGGTCTGGAGCTCCTTTGGGGTCCCTTCTAACTCTGAGACTCTGTGTTTGTCTCAGAGATGTTTCCTATCTCCTTCCTGGCCCAAGTAAGGGCTGCCTACCTTCACGGAGGGAGCATGAGCTGCTGGCTCAGTGACTGAAGGGCTGAGACGGGCCCAAGTCGACCGGGAGCCGTGCCAAGGTACTTACTGTTGAAAGGGAATGAAATGCTGCTTTTCTTCATCGTCAACCTTCCCGTGTATGATATCGGTAATATCCATCACTAAGAAAGAGATAAGGGCAATTAACGAGACTAATTGCTTCGTGTCTCCATTAATTACTGTGGAAAATGATCTCATCCCTTCCCCCTTCCTCCCCTCAAACACACAACACCAGAGAGGAAAGGTACTTGGCCTAAAGTTTTTTCTTCTTGTTTCATTAGTAATGCGATTTCCAGACATATTACACAGTGAAGGATGGGGCAAGCCCTTTGTCACTGCTTGTTAGAGGCATCTAGGTGTTACAGCAGAGAGTGCTGGACCAGGAATCAGGAAGACCCAAGATCAAATCTAGTTACTAGCTACGTGATCCTGGACAAGTCACTTAACCTCGATTGCCTCAGTTTCCTCATCTCTAAAATGGGGATCATAATAGCACCTAAACTCTTGGGATTGTTAAGGTAAAATAAGTTATTTATAAAGCATTTTGCAAACCTTAAAATGATAAAAAATGCTATTATTATTATTATTATTTGTGCTGTAAGTACAATCCTTTCAGTGCTTTAATATCAGAAAANATTTATAAAGCATTTTGCAAACCTTAAAATGATAAAAAATGCTATTATTATTATTATTATTCGTGCTGTAAGTACAATCCTTTCAGTGCTTTAATATCAGAAAGAAGTTTGAGCCTCATAGGATCATAGGATACTTGTAATAAAAGGGAAATATATTTTGGTCAACCTCTGATTTCATTAGTATAAGGAGCTGCCTCTGTCAATAAAATGGGCACCTGATCAGCTATGTATAGTCTCAGAGAGTTGCCTGGGGCCTTGAGAAGTTAAGTGATTGGTCCAGGGTTGCAAAGACACTGTGTGTCACAAGCAGAATCCAAACCCAGTTCTGCCTGTCTCTGCCTGTCTCAACACTGTCTACCGAGTAGATACGGAATCCAGACTTCACAGAACAAATCCCCTGAATAAAATGATTTGTTCTGTAGAACTTGGACTCAGTCAAAAGGCAGTACCCAAGGACCTAGAAGGCCACATGGGGCCTCAAGGCTGCAGGTTCCCCATCTCTGTACTAGGCTCTTTATGTCTTATACTACGATGCCTCTGGAAACGGAACGTGGGGGTCATCTCACCCATACAGCTCATTGAAAAGATTTCACAGATTCAGAGCTGGCAGGAACCTCAAAAGTCATCTAGTCCAAAAGTCCTGATTTTACAGATGAGGAAACTGAGGCCAAGGGAAATTAAGTGACTTACCCAAGGTCACACAGATAGAAGAGGCAGTGGAGCCCAAAATAAATGACTTAAGACAAGGTAACAGCCAATAAGTGCACAATGTTAAAAGCAGGGCTTTTCAGGTGCCATATTGAAGGCTCCCACCTTCATACCACCACTTTCTTAGCAGCCTAATCTTACTCTACAGCAGACTGCAGACATCCTGAAGTCACTGCGCCATCTCTCACCATGTCTACTTCCATGGAACGCTTCTGTGAGGCCAGCTGCCTGGTCACAATGAATAATGGAAGCAGGCACTGGAAGACCAATCCATACATGACTTGTACAGTGTAGCAGCGGACCACCTCTCATTCAAGCACTGGGATAGCTAAGACAGCATGAGGTGGGTGCCAGGTGAGGTATTTTATGGATGGAGCATCTCATGAAATCATCTATGAAAAGTAACACGCCTGGGAGCGGTATTAGGAGAGAAATCTATCATCAATGATAATTGATGAATGAAATCAGTGTTCTCTGATCAATGAAATCTGATGCCCACATCAAGGAAATCAGAATTTCTTAAAATGTAGAAAAGTGTTGAAAAATCCTCTAAGCAGTATATGTGTATGCATCTTATATATACGTACCATTCACATTATACAAATGACTTATACTATACAAGCATGTGCAGATTCCATACACATATATGCATGTATAGATTTCCATACATATATGTATGTGTATAGCACATGCATATATGTATAGATTTGCATACATATGTATATGTGCATATGTGTGTGTATCAATCTATCTATCTATCTATCTATAGCATTTCAAGACAATCAATTTCCATTGAAGACTTCTAGTAATTGACTACAGGTGACAAAACTGAGCTCAGATAAATGCGTTGACTTGCTCAAAGTGCAGTTAACTATTTATTATTTACATACACCCAGATCAATATGCTAGATAATTGAAGAATTAAACAGTTATCACACATTCGTATAGCCATTAAAGGACACATCTGTGGTACAGTATAAAGACCTTTTTTGGAATCAGGGGGTCTGAGTTCAAATCCTATCTCGGATGCTTGCTAGGCATGTGCTCTGTGACCTTGAGCAAGTTACTTTACCTCTTGGTCTGAGTTTCCTCATCTGTAAAATAACTGATGCAGAATGAAGTAAGAAGAATGAGAAAATCAGCATGGAAAATGAGCACAGCCCTGCACATGGGAAGAATGGCCACAAACAACAAAGACAAAACTGCAGAAGATGGTGACCAGGCTTGGTCCCAAATAGAAATATGTGAAGACCCTTCTCCCTTCTTCAAAAGTGGGGGGCTACGGGTGTGGAATGCTGCATATCACACCGCACCCCCATATGTGACATCGCCCCTTACTTTTTTCTTGATGTGATGGTTAGTTTGTAAAAATTTTTTAAAAATCCTTACTCTTTTTTTTAATCTATATTGACTCTCAGGGAGGGGGTGGAAAGATGGATACAGTAAGATATGTAGGTGATAAAAAAAAAGATGCTCTCAATCAAAATTCGTTTTTTTATATAAATGAAGGGGCTGGAGTCGATGCTTTCTGAGGTCTCTAGCTCTCAGTACTCTGCCTACCTCTTGGGGCACATGGCAGACGCTTAATAAAAGTTGATTTGACTATCAGGCCTCTTCTGACTCTAAAGCTAGAAGAGACTGCGGAGAACACAGAATGTTGAAGAAGACACGGTCCTGGCCTCTAGGGAACTCACCTCTCCTGGGGGAGATGGGAGCAAGCCTGGCCAGAAGAGGGGAGGAAGGGGAGCTCCTTCCCTTCCCGGAAGAAAGGTGGATTAGGGGACAGGAGCGTCGTATTTACTGTCAGACTCGGCTGGTGGCCTGTCAGCTTTGGCGAACGGCTTTGTTTCCACTTCTTTCTTTTTTAACTCTTTGTATGAGGGAGGACCCCTCGGAATGACTGACAAGAGACATTCGGGCCAGTCAGGTGGCTCTGCCAATGCCTGCAGTTTCGACCTCCCCCAGCGCCATCTTCCTACCTGCCACCCCAAAAGGCCTGCGGAGGCCACAGGTGTGCTTCTTTCCCTCCTTGAGCTCCATGTGGCCCACGCGCACAATCTGGCACACGAGGCTGATCTTGGGCCGGATGAGGTCAGTGCTGCTGAGATCCTGGGGGACAGAGGACAGAGTGTCAGGCGGGAGGGGCAGCTGTCCAGAGATCTTTGCACTTTGTTTCCCTTCATCCTCCCCAACCTTGCATCAGAAGGACCCTGCTCAGGATCATGGGGCGTAACGTAGAGCCGTGGGGGAGCAGAGGGATCGCATGGGTTATCTCATTTCCCCAGGCCTCAGTTTCCTCCTCTGTTAAATGAGGCCTCTGAGGTCACATCCAGTTCCAGAGCTGGGATCCTTCTCTCATCCTCTCCCTCCAGATTGCGTCTTGTTTCCATGGTATGAAGCTGCCTCTGCTTCTGAACTGAAATGAAGGATTTCTTCCTCTCCCACTCCTCCCCACACATACCCAAGAATGCTCACGGGTGAGAGAACAGAGGGCTTTGTACACATGAAAACAAAGAATTCCCACCCCTACTCATTACTATTTCTCTCTACTACATCTGATTCACAAAAGAAAAATCACAAGACAAAGCAATCAATCGTCCTTAAACCAAGGAAACCTGAGTCTAAGGAGATCTAGTCATCAGGATACCCAATGGCCCATCACAGAAAGCTGAAAAGTCACTACTCAGCAAGGGATATTAGTCACAGCCACCCCAAGGCATTCTCCCCCATGTTCTTTTGTCCAGGTTGGTTTTATTTTTATTTCTTAAGTATAAGGAGGCAACTGAGTCCTGGAGGCAGAAATTCTAGGTTCGGATGCTACCTCTGTTCCACAGTAGCCATGTGATTGGAGGGAAGGCATTTAATGTGCCGAAGCTTCAGAACATTCCCTAAGACTCCAAGCATGGATGAGTTGCTGTTTGTAGTTGGTAGAAAGTAACATGGTGCAGTGGCAAAGTGTGTTTTAGTTTCTGTGGCCCCTGAGTGGGCCTGGAAGAATAACAGATGAATCTAGGAATTAGGCAAGGCACCTGTGTCTTACCTTAGCTTGACTCAATCCCTGGAGGTGATGGAAGGCACAGGGGAGTCAGTGGCCTAGTAGATAGAGAGCTGGCCTCAAAGCCACAAAGACCTGGGTTCAAATCCTGCCTAAAACCCATAATACCTATGTGACTATAGCAAGCCCCTTAATTTCTCAGTGCCTGAGGCAACTCCATAAGAGTCTAAGCTGCAGAAAGATGAGTTGGTAGAAAGTTTCCCTTATCAGTGGCACCATAGGTCTAGTTCCTACCTCTCCCTCAAACACTTAGAAGAGCTGTGTGACTGTAAGCATGTCATTTCCCTCTCTGAGCCTTGGGCTCCTCATCGTTAAAACAGAGACAATCAGGCTGGTATCACCTGTTTAACAGTATGTTTATGAATAAGGAGATTTGCAAAACTTATAGCAAAACTTATTTCTTAATATTCCACATAAAATTACCTGAAGGACAAATACCCTGGTGGGTATCAGTGTTCATTTCCTGAAAGTCTGAATCCAATACATACCATCTTGATTTGGACATGAAAAAAGAACAGGAGGTTTCAGGGAAACCCAGTACAGAGGCCTGAGGTGATGCTCAGTGCTAACGCCTCCTACCTCTCCATCCCTGCCTTAAATTCTAGGGGACACATCTCCAATAGTCTATTGAGTTTAAGCCAAAAACAGAAGGGTCAGCCATGTAGTAAGAGTGCACAGCCAGTGAACTCCACTGGTATCCAAGAATTGGAGAGGTAGGAGACCATGGGTATGTAATGCTGTATACACACTCGTATGCAATCTATCAAGTGAAGAGTATTTGTTAATTTTTTTTTCCTTTACTACAAATGAAGGCACATTGGATGTGCTACTCTCATCCACTTATACCTGGATTACTGCAATAGCTGCTGGGGGTTCTGCCTGCCTCTTGTCTCTCCCCACTCCAATCCACCTTCCATTTAGCCACTGATGTGATTTTCCTAAAGCTGAGGTCTGATCATGTCATCCTTCTTTACTCAACAAGCTCCTAACGGTTCCTTATAGCCTCTAGGATTAAATACAAAATGCTCTGTTTGACATTCAAAGCCCTCCATAACCTAGTCCCCTCCTATCTTCCCAGTCTTCTTAAATCTTACTCCTCAGTATGTATTCTTTGATCCAGTGACACTATTCTCCTGGCTGTCCCCCAAACAAGACATTCCATCTCTCAGCTCCAGGTATTTTCTGTGGCCATTTCCGATGCCTGGAAGGCAATCCCTCCCCCCTTTACAACCACTGACCTCCCCGACCTCCTTTAAGACCCAACCAGAACCCCTTCTTGTACAGTAAACCTTCCCTCTGCTATTTATTTCCTATTTATTCTGTATACAGCCTGTTTGTCCATATTGGTTTGAGTGTTATCTCCCCCACTAGATTGTAAGCTTCTTGAGGGCAGGCACTGTCTTTTGCTTCTTTCTATATTCCCAATATTTAGCACAGTGCCTGACACATAAAAGATGCTTCAGAAATGTCTTATGATTGATTGATTGATTGACTGAGGGGAGTATTCAGGAGAT